CAATTGATGTGTGTATGGATTGCGATAACAGTTGTATGAGCCCCTAATAAAATGTTAAAAAAGAGAAAAGAAAAAAAAAGAAAAGAGATGTCTAGAAACTAATAATGGCAACATATGTACAAATGTGCTTGATACAATTGATGCATGGATTGTTACAAGAGTTGTAAGAGCTCTCCATAAAATGTTTAAATAAATAAAGACCTTGTTATACCAAAACAAAACAAAACAAAAAAACAAAAAAACCCAAAACAAAACATCACCCAGGCCTCACACTTCCAGATCTTCTAATGGCATGCCCCACCTCTAAGTGCTATGGTTTGGAAATGACCCCACAGGGCATTGAGTGGTTTGAAGGTCATGTGAGATGCCAGGACTGATGTCCCAGCCAGCTCCTTTGTGGATCAACTCTCTGATCATGGGAGTAAGTTCGTTTGTGTTAACATTGATGGATGACATTGAATGCACATAGTTCTTTAGGTTCCTGGATATGGGAACTGAACTTCACATTAACTCTGTGAGGGTCAGAGAGCGTCTTTTTCTCCATTGTGCATAGGAGAAAACAAACTTAGAGATGTTGAGAAACTTTTTTTACATTATTGAGACTTTTCATTCTGCCCTCAAACCATCCTTGCCCTCCAAACACGCAGGACCATGATGTACAATCCTTTGTAAACTGATGTCATCAAAGGACAGTATATTGGGGACTTTCATCATACAGCGTCTAAATATTCACTGCGTGTAATCAGTCATCGTCCCGGAAGCTGAGCAGTGGGGATGGAACCCAGCAGAGCAGATGTGGAGGGTCCTGAGATAATCCGCTTCCCCCTGGGGATCCAGGCAGGGTCTTGGGTCATTTGGAAAGGCAGCAGAGGAACATATATTCTTCTGCCTTATTGGCTTTTGTGCTGCTTCTTTTTTGGTCAAATATTACAAGACAACAGAAGATAATACCTGCTACTTGGAACTGTAAAAATTTAGCTGCATTTGGTTTCAGTCTTAGGGAAATGGTTCCCATCACCAAACCCAAACTTGGGTTCCTAGGAAACACTGTGAAATATGAGGAGTATACATTTGTGCCTTTCTTTGCCTAGATGGAAAAACCACAATCCTATGTTTTGGCTACATACAGTTTTCTCTAAAAACTATATTCTTAATAGCATGTATGATATTCAACATCCAGGACTCCTTCAGACTCTGTGCTTTCCATCCGTCTACTTCTTCTATGCACCATATGTTTTGTTTTATTTTTTAATCAGAAATATTTGTTTAGTAGAGAACAACCAATATTTTCCTCATCTCCCCCCACCTTTAAAAAAAATCATTTTATTGGGGGCTCCTACAATTCTTATCACAATCCATCCATCCATCCATTGTGTCAAGCACATTTGTACATTTGTTGCCATCATCATTCTCAAAACGTTTGCTTTCTGCTTAAACTCTTAATATCAGCTCCTCATCCCACCCCCCACCCCCTTTTTTTTGGGTCTTAAAACAGATTGCAGTTCTCTTCGGTTTCAGGGACCAGAAGGAAAGGTGGATATCAAGATGATTGATCAAAGCCCAAACATATACAGGTAAGAATAGAATATGGCGATTGTAGAAGTACAATTCTAATATCAAGGATAGGACACGGTTCATCACTCAAGAGAACTGAAATGTTGTAGGTTCCTATCCTGTTGAGTTGGTATTTTGATTTCAGCATATGCAAATGTGAGGCAAACTGCATCCTGAAAGGGGCGTGGTGTGCAAACCCCAGTGTTACGAATTTGTGTCCCTGGAAATATGTGCTGTAAACATTAATTCCATCTGGGATTAGTGTTTTAAAATATATTTTTGCTATGTTAATGAGTGTGGGAGCTTGCCCACAACCAGCTAGGTCCTAAGGGGTGGTTGTGTAATTGAAGGGTGAATTAAAAAGCCATCAGACAAGGCAAGCAAGGGCTCACCTCTTTCATGGCAGCAAAAACCAGGGAGGGAGAGAGCGAGCGAGAGCAAGAGCGAGAGCAAGAGAGCGCTAATATATTCTTTTACAGGCTTATATAGCCTCAGGATATGCAGCCCTCATTAATTACACATGTAACACGGTGGGCAGTATCTCAACCTTAGAGGTTCCTGAGCTCATTGGGGGAGAAAGAATCCCAATATTAGTACTGAGGTCAGGCAGAGGGGAGTCAACTGCCCCTTGGGTAGGGAGAGCGAAAGAAACATGTGTGTTCCTAGATATAGATAAAGACCTCTGGCCGAATGGTGATGAGCCACGTGCTTGTAAGAGGTGACATGCTGGTAGCACTATGATGGGAGGGTACTGTGGGGGTGATTTTTAATTATGAGAATGTGACTGGGACTCTTCTACAACTCACACCTGTGAAGGCCTCCCTCTACTCAGAACCCTGGCCTTCTAGCCTTCTTAATCATGAGCAGAGAGAATCCGTCCACATGCACACTCTTCCCGGTCCTCTGTTTCCCATTAATGAGGCAGTATTTGTGTAGGGGGAATCTACGTTATTTTTTTTAAGATCATTTTATTGGGAGCTTAGAGCTCTTATAAAAATCCATACATCAATTGCATCAACCATGTTTGCACATATGTTGCCATCATCATTTTCTAAACATTTACTGTCTATTTGAGCCTTTGGTATCAGCTCCTATTTTTCCCTCCCTCCGACCCTCTCCCCTCATGACTCCTTGATAAATTATTAATTATGATTATTATTTTAAAATCATTTTATTGGGGGCTCTTATAGCTTTTATAATATTCCAAACATCAATTGTATCAAACATATTTGTACATATGTTGCCATCATCATTTTCTAAGCATTTACTTTCTATTTGAGCCCTTGGAATCAGTTCCTCTTTTTCCCTCCCTCCCCCTCCCCCCTACTCGTGACTCCTTGATAAATTATATATTATTATTGTTTTCATATCTTTCACTGACCGTTGTCTCCCTTCACCCACTTTTCTGTTGTTCATCCCCCTGGGGGGTGGGGGGTTATGTGTTGATCATTGCAATTGGTCTCCTCTTCCTCCCCTCTCTCCCTACCCTTCCCCTATCTTCCTGGTATGAATACTCCCATCTCTGTTCCTGAGAGGTTTATCTGACCTGGATTCCGTGTGTCATGAGCTCGTGTCTGGACCAGTGAATGTGCTCCAGTATAGCCAGACCTGAAAGGCAGAACCGGGGTCATGATAGTGGGGGCTGAGGTAGAGCATCAAAGAACCAAAGGAATATTGTGTGTTTCATTGATGCTATACAGTGCCCTGGTTGACTCATTCCTTCCTTCTGATCCTCCTGTGAGGCATCCTATTGTCTACAGATGGGTTTGGGGTCTCTGCTCCAACCCCCCTCATTCTCAACAATATGTTTTTTATTTGTTGGTTTTGAGTCTTCTGATGCCTGTTACCCAATCCCATCGACACTTCATGATTGCACAGGCTGGATGGCACATGTGGGCTTGTTGCTAAATGGCTGCTTGTTTAACTTCAAGCCTTTAAGACCTTTAAGACCCAGACACTATATCTTTTGATAGCTGGGCACCATCTGCTTTCTTCGCTACATTTGCTCATGCATCCATTTTGTCTTCAGCAATCGTGCTGGGAGGGAGAGCATCACAGAATGCCAGGTTGTTAGGGCAAAGTGTTCTTGGGTTGAGGCAGGGCTTGAGCAGAGGCCCGAAGTCCATCCACTTCTTCAATGTGTTGCCATACATTAATATATGCCCATAGTCCAATAGCTCTATTTTCTGAATTAGTAGCTTTATCTAGGTACACACCTGTGCTTATACCTCTATCCATAGCTTTGCTTCCTAAATCGTTTATCTGTTTTACCTTCCTCCTGTTCCACCATTACGCTCACCTGTAGGGTGATCCATCCCTTTTGAGATAGAAGAAGAGCAAGAAAGCAAGGATGAAGAAGAGAGGTGTCCCGCCTCCTGAAGATGGCTGAAGGGAAAGCCTTCTCCTTGTGTGGGTGCCTGAATTTGGACTTTCCATCCCCCAATTGTGAGAGAATAAATGTCTGTTTGTTAAAGTCACCTACTTGTGGTGTTTCTGTAACAGAAGCACTCGATAGCTGAGGCACCCACCTTCACCACTCACTCGGTAGCAAAGAGCAGCATTGTGTTAGTCTAGTTAGTTGACTAGAGAAACAAATCCAGAGACACTCACAGGTGCGTAAGAGAGAACTTTATATCAAAGAACAATTGTACATTAAGAAAACATCCCAGCCCAGTCCAGAATAAGTCCACAAGTATGATATTAGCTCATATGTCTGATACCAGCCTGATATTAGCCCATATGTCTGATACCAGTCTTCTTCAGACTCATGCAACACATGCAATGATGCTAAGTACAGGAAGATCACAGGCCAGTGGGCAGTGGGTGGGAAGTCTTGTGGATCCAGTAGCAGTGGAAGCATCTCAGCACTGGCTTCGGTCTCCAAGTGGTTCCTCCAGCCCGAAGACTTTGGCCGCCATCAGCATAGCTCCATGTGGCTTGTCAACGGGAATGTCTTGCAAGGAGTCTATGTGTATCTGGCCGCCAGTCAGCATTTATCTCCATGGCACCTCCAAATGAGGTCATCAAGCTGCGACCTGATTGGCAGGCTAAACCCCACGCCTTCACAAGTTGACAGGAGATTATGTTAACTACCACAAGCAGGAAACCAGTTCCCAGGCAAAAGAGGATCAAGGGCTCACCTCGTTACAGTTCCACTCCTTGTCCTCAGACTTCCGTGTCAATTCCTCTCTCTGATGTTAACCACCCGTGTTCTATCAGACTTATTATCTCTGGCTCTCCTGAGAGTTGAAACACTCCTGGTCACCCGAGGCCTGGTGATCCGGAAGCAGTTGTAGGCTGAAGAGTCTGCACGACACGTGTATTTCAGCTTAGCTTGCTCTCTCTCTGGTCCCTGAGACTAGGTTACAAGCTAGATGAAATCTCTCTTTTTTCATCTACTGCCCATGCAGCCTTCTGCTCTCACCTAGCCACTCAGCCTTCTGCTCTCATGCAAATCAACTGTGTCCTGGCAACTCCTACCGGTTCTTTGTTTCTGTGAGTTCATGATTCTCTAGAAATAGCCAATAGCAGCTGAATCCAGTCTGATTGATGGCAACCAGATAGGGCAGAGTAGAACCGTCCTATCAGGGTGCCATGGCTCCATCTCTTTCTCTTGCAGGGATGCTGGTGGGTTTGAACTGCTGACTTGTCAGTTCTCTGACAAGAGCTTAAGCACGGTACCCTCTAAGACTCTGATTCTCCAGCACAGCCCACAATATCCACGTGAGGTGGACCTGGTCTGCATGCTGCTGGGCAGCTGTAAAGACCCGCTCCCACTCATCACGGGGAAGGGTAGAGGTGAGGACTAGATCAAGATCATGCCAGGTTAGGTCATACTCCTGGGTGAGGCATAGGAACGCCTTAATATAGGTGGTGGGGTCATTAGAAAACAATCCTGAGTTAGTTAGTTTATTGTGCCAGCCTGGTCGATAAGCACATGTGGGATTAATTGAAGGGTGGAGGGATAAATGGCTCGGTGAGCCTCGCCTTTCTTGTTCTCGGGTCTCTTGCTTTCTGATGGTCCCACCAGGGTGCAGCTGCCTTAGCCAGTTCACTGCTTTAGCTGGTAAGGCTCACTTCCTGCAAGACATCCCTGAGGAGAAGCCACATGGACCTACCCCGATGCAGCCCTGGGTGCTGGAACAGCTGTGTGGAGACCCTGCCAGCCCTGAGATGTTTACACATTCACTGACTTGGCTTTCCTCCTGCAGTCAGCATCATTGTGCCTGTTTTGTGTGATGGAGGAGGACTTTGTGGATTGGACATATGGGATAATGGGTTAATGTTGGACTTGTGGGCTTGGGCAGCACTGGGTTGGGATATTTTCTTAATGCGCACTTACCCTTTATATAAAACTCTTATACATGAATTTCTGTGGATTTGTTTCTCTAAAGTACCCAGACTAACACACTGTGTGATGATTGCTTCTGGCTCTTTCAGCATCTGCTTTCCCAGAGCAGGCTGGTATGTGTGGCCAGCCACAGGACTGGGCTTTGATGTCAGGCAGAAGGCGATGGTGGAACTCTCGTTTGAGTCTTGGAGTCAGCACCTGGACCTGGACCTGCAGGAGGATGAGCAGTGGATGGCCGCAGGCCCCTTGTTCGAGATCATGGTAGAGCCCAAGGAGGCCATCGCCAAAATCCACCTCCCCCACTTTGTCTCCCTGCAAGGTAATGAGGGCAGAGAGGAAATGGTAGGAATTCCTGGCCAGCATTTTGCTCAACTCTCACTGTGGTTCTCCTACAGAAGGTGGGGTCGATCCCTCCTGGTTCCAAGTTGCCCATTTTAAGTATGAAGGGATGGTCCTGGAGCAGCCAACCAGGGTGGAGCCTTTCTACGCTGTTCTAGAGAACCCCAGCTTCTCTCTGATGGGAATCTTGCTCAGGATCGCCAGTGGAACCCGCCTCTCCATTCCCATCACTTCCACCACACTGATCTATTATCACTCTCATCCGAAGGGCAGTAAATTCCATGTGTACCTTGTCCCCAGTGATCCTGCGCTGAGGCAGGTAAGGCTAAATGATTGTTTGTGTTATAAGAAGATGAGAATTCTGTCTGCAGACGATCCCATTGGCCTTCCCAACCCCCTAGTGATCCAGAAAGGCCAGGGTCAGTTTTAATTGAGAGAAGAATAACTCACCCACCATCATGTCTCAAATGTGTGTTTATCATTTTGTCATGGGCGAGCACCGAGGACAGAAATACCGCCCTATTGAAAATTGATCTTCCCTTCTCTGACTCTCCAAGCCTGGAGAAAGGGAGAGGATATTTTGGGGGATTTTTTCAGAGGAATAAGATCCAGAAAAAAATGTTTTATCACTATATTAAAAATGAATCATTAAACACATACACACTTTGTGTTAGTCTGGGTAGACTAGAGAAACAAATTCACACATATATATATAAAGGAGAGGTTTATATAAAACAGGAATTGAACATTGAGAAAACACCCCAACTCAGTCCAGTCCAAGGTCATAAGGCTGATCTTAGCCCATATGTCCTATACCAATCTATAAAGTCCTCTTCAGACTCGGGAAACACACACAATGAAGCCAAATGCAGGATGATCACAAGCCAGTGGGTGGAAAGTCTTTGGGTCTGGTGGTATTGTAAGTATCTCAGCGCTGGCAGGGGTCTCTCTGTGGCTTCTCCGGCTTCTGAGGTCTGGTTGCGTCCACATAGCTTGTCTTCTGCAATGTCTCTCAGGGAGTAGCAGAGAGAGAAAGGCGTCTTCCACTTCCAAGGAGGAAGTACCAGATTTCCCAGAATTCTCAGGAGAAGGCCATGCCCACACAGAAGTCTCATTGGCTGTCTCCTGATTGACAGCCTAGGCTCCACCCCTACACTCTTAATCCTTAAATTGACACCAGATTAGGTGACTACCACACACTTGAATCATCTTATACATTCTACTCAAAAATATGATGTAGTCCACCTTGTTTGCTTATTGACTTTTCTCATTTCTGTCTTTTCATCTTAGGCAATAGATGAAGAAGAAGCCCGGTTCCGTGGTGTGCGTCTGCAGACCTCTCCCCCAGTGGAACCCTTGAACTTTGGTTCCCGTTATATTGTGTCTGGATGTGCACACCTGGAAATAATCCCCAAGGTCAGTAAAATCTGAATTTAATTCAGCATGTTTCACCAAAAACAAATGGTAGAATCTTGGGAAAAACCAACCTTCTATATCACTGATGTCAAATTTTACTTGTTATTTCATTTGTATTGAAAAAAATCATCCCAATCAGTTGAAAGCTTTTTCATGGAAAGTGACTGAGGATCAATGTATTCCTCCCTTTCTCCCATTGTGGAGTCAAGGAAGCCATAGAGGAAAACCACGGCTGGCAAAATCAACAGGATTATGACAGTATAATTTTTCCTTTTGGACACGAAAGCTATAGTACCCAAATGATTGTCCTTAAAATCACACAGACGTTAAGTTGTTAAACCAATGGCAAATATCAAAATAGTGTTGTTTTTTAAAAATATAAGTATGCAACAATATAAGAATACAATTAAATGTGTGTTCTTGGTCATTTTATAATTCCCAATTTCCTTTAAAAGCTTGGCGGATCATCCAAAGCTCAGTAACTGGTCTCTATTTGCCTAGAGCAACAGCAAAAATTTTCAAAAGGGAAGTGAGGATTGGAAGGTAGAAATGGAATGTGTGGTGTCTCCAGAAACAAGGACCTCCCTTGCCATGAAACCAGAGCAATTTGATGATGACTGTCTACCATTCATGAACATTTTGATCACAGGCTCTATAGATGAATCCTGATCAACGAGGGGAAAATGAGGAACAGAATATTAAAATTTATCCCAGACCTCCCAGAGCTGTGGAAATGGGATGAAGCAGTGGAACGAATGGCCTGGGATCTTTAAACTTTCACCGAACTATTCCCTGACATTCCCCCTGAAACCAGGAAATAGTTTAGCTTAACTAGTAAAAAAAAGACCTGCCTTCACCAGCATGATCTTGGAAGAATTCTCTATGTAGGATCAAATTGACAGCTCTATCGTGAAAGATTCGATAGAAACCTTAGGTTGTCCTCTAAGCATGATACATCATTGGCTGTTGCAGGACTTAATATAACCATTGGTGATTTAGAGATGAATAGAACACGATGTGTTCCCGTGTGAGTGGAGAAATGAAAGAGAAAATTGTAACCAGAGTTGATGAAGAATCTCCATCGAGGAGAATTCTCCTCAAAATCATCTTCCAACTGAAAGACTTAGAATCAATGATTTCACATCTGCCAATGACAAGAAAATCGTTATTTTTCAAGGACTGTGAGACTTGTAAACAAAAGGCACTAGACTTCCATCAGCGGAGCTTTTCTTCATTCTGTCCTGATCAGGAAGTTAGTGCCGATTTGCCCATGCCCATGTAGGGAGTCTGGTACAGCGTAGAGTGATGTGAAATGACTGTTTCCAGTTAGATTCAATGAAGACTGATGAGGTTCCATTGACCAGACTCTCCTCCCTCCATACTGTCTCAGACGATGATCTGCTGGCATTAATGAAGGACCTCAAGAATGTAAGAGCTTGCATTAAATCAATAGCTAGTCTCCCTTCCATGGGATAATTGTGTACCCTCAGACTGTGAGTGTAAAAGAATGTTGACCTCTGTTTGTCTATGTAGTTTTTAAACAACCATGCAGAAGAAAGGGGTTCAGTCCCATTGGCTTGTTCATTCTAGGAAACTAGTCTTTCCTACCCTCCATTGATTCAAGATACATGGCATGTTTTCTTTAGGAGTTGAAATTGTCCTACAGGAGCCCTGGAGAGATCCAGCCTTTCTCTAAAATCTATACCGGGCAGATGATGGAACCAATTCAACTGGAAATTGCTAGCAAAAAACTTGGGACTGTGGTGTGGGAGACTTTGGTGAAACCAGGTAGGTAAAAGTATGAGGATGGATTTTTTTTTTTCCCCAGAAGGAAAAATGAGGCCTCTCAATCCTTGGGTGTAGTGAAGTGGATCCAAGGGAACAGTCTGTTTCTAGTCACATCCCAGAACAGAAAACCAATCTATTGTCAGCTTCTATTTCATGGGAGTGCAACAACAATGGTGACCATGGTTTAGCTCTAGAGAGTGAAACGGAAGTGTTTCTTTCTTCCTCTGATAAAAAAATTGCTTAATGGATAGCAGATGGACTTTGGGCCTCTACTCAAGTCCTCCCTTAACACAAGAACTCATTGTTCTGATAACCTGGCACTCTTTGATACTCACCTTCCTGACATGATCGCTGAAGACAAAATGGGTGCATAAGCTAATGTGGTGAAGAGAGCGGACAGTGCCCGGTTATCAAAAGATAGAGCATCTGAGATCTTAAAGGCTTGAAGTCAAACAAGTGGCCATTTAGCAGGAAAGCAAATAAGATCACATGGAAGAAGCACACCAGCCTGTGTGATCATGAGGTGTCTATAGGATCAGGTATCAGGTATCAAAAGATCCCAAACAAAAAACTATGTCAAAGTGAACGAGATGGGTTGGAGTGGAGACCCAAAGCTCATCTGTAGACAATTGGATATCCCCCCACAGAAGGGTTATAAGGAAGGGATGATTCAACCAAGGTGTAGTGTAGCACCAGCGAATCACACATCATTCCTCTAGTTCCTGAATACTTCCTCCTCCCCACTACCATGACCCAGTTCTACCTTACAAACCTGGCTAGACCGGAGATCACACATTGGTACAGATAAGAGCTCTCAACACATGGAGTTCAGGAAAGATAAACCCCTCAGGAACAGTAGGGGGAGTAGTGAAATCATGAGGGCAGGGGGATGGCCCAGGAGGGGGAAGCGTGAGAAAGGGGGAATGTGGGGAACAGAAGGAATTCTCTTAAGTTGTCTCCCCAAAATATGTACCAAACTTAGCTGCTTAAGAGTGACTCTCGGCAAAAGTAGGTCAGAGGTTATTTTCCTTGACATTGGCCATCTGTAGTGGCTAGACCATTAGTCTGACTCACCCT